CAAGTACTAAAGAGTGGGTTGTCAGTGAAATTACCACACAAAAGTCTATGCCATACAATGGTTCCTCTGTGATGAATAATGGAAAAGATGCATCTACTACTTCCACAGCCACTGAAAATGGAGCAGATTCAAACCAGACTGTAGAACAAATAGTTTCCGCCAAGGCTCAATCACGTGCATCATGCGGCCCTCAAACGGTTACCATAGATGTTCCCGCCAGCCCGCGGGACGACGCTAGAGCAGTAGAATCAAGTACTCATTCTGTAGGCGAGAACGGCTTCTCCGGAAAAACTGAGACAGCAAGGGATACTCAGAAGCTTGAGTCTAAACCTTTACAGTTTCTGTTCAAAGAAAGTGATAAGAAACAAGGTGAAGTAATTTTCTCTCTACATTATGTATATATGTATGTGTATTTATACACATATTACTACCTTTTCAGTCTGTGATACTATTGTTCATTTCATATGACAGATAATAATCAGATGATTAGGGATAAAGAAGAAAACAGGATGAAAAGCACAAAAAAATTGTCTGCTGTTTTTGATGTTACTGTGAACCCCATGAAACAAGAAGAAAAGAAAGTTTCCGTGATAGATGTAGGACATGACAAAGCCACTTCCCAGGGTTCAGTAAGCTTAGGTGAAAATATGGGGAAAGGCCTAGTTAAAGGAAAGGTCAAAGAATTCGCTCGAATTTTCAACCAAGAAACTGCTGCAAAACCAAAAGTTGACACCAAATCTCGACCTCAGGGTTCTACACACAAGCAGAGAGATGCTTTAAGGAAAAAAAATAAAGTAAGTGTTCTCACAGCTTAAGAAGATGACTTGAAAAGTAGATGCACTTTGTTGAAAGGACACGAATTGTTTAAATATGCTTTAGAGATAAATCTGTATAATTCTGGTTTCGCAACAGCGAAGGTGATTAATATGTCTTTCAACTCTATCAGGTAGAACGTGGTCCTGAACAATCCAAGGAGGAAAACTCTTCCATAGAGACCACCAACATATCTGCTGACAATTTGTCTCATCAAGAGGATATATCAGAACCAGGTATTGCTTAGTTATTCAAATCCCAATATTCCTTCAGTTAGAATTGGTTTACTTGGGAAGCGATCGAATTGTGCATAGACTCCTCTCCTCTTTATTCATAGCATGGTGACAAGATATGACAAACTTAGTGAGGATATGTGTGTAACCTACATCTAACAATAGGAAAATATAACTACATGACAAGCAGTATGCAGCAGGTTTTATTTAAAATGTTATGTGGTATTTATTATTTCCTTAATCTAAATTGTCTGTTAAATCGGTAGTCTGTTACATCCAACATATGGATGGATTTCATACGGTGGTAAGGAAACAATCTACAGAATCAATGAATAATATGGTGCCAATTATTTTAAGAAAATCGTATTAGAAACTTTTCGTTGCAAGTGAAAAACCTTAGTTATTAGAAAAATGATACTACACACATAATTTTTTTACATTTCACACTACTCTTCCTTACTTTTTACTCTTTTTTTTTAAAAAAACTACAAAAATTCATTCTACGTAGAAGTTTATAATTTATAGTCTGTAATACGCTTACACCAATCTTTGATCAGCTTTAAACTCTATAAATGTGATTTGTCCTGAATATTAAATTATGTGATGAAACAACTTGATTTTGTTAGCAGCAATTCCTGATGTATCATTTACTGTTATTGGAGATACAGACGAGTCCTTCCACGGGAGTTTCATGGTATTTCATTTCAAATTTGATTAAGTTCCTTTCTTGAGTACCGGATTTTAGCGGCTTATGTTGATAAGCTTCTATATTTGGTTTTTCAGATCCAAGTATTAGCCCAAGAAGAGAGCGAGGACTTACAAAATCAAGAAATCCAAGTAATATATTACTTAGCTAGATTTGTTAGTTTCAAGGTTATAGTAGAACAGTCATATTAAGTATTTGTCTCTGTATACACTGTAGATGATTGACAAGAAGATAAAAGAATGGTCTAAAGGGAAGGAAGGAAACATACGATCCCTGCTATCGACATTACAACATGTAAGAAAAACTAAAATCACTCCTTATTGCTCAAGTCTCATTTGATTGAAAATTTGATTTCTTCGTTTTTGTAAAATAATACGATGAACCATTTTACTATTACTTCAAGTTGTGCTTTTAACGTAAATGGGACTAGAGAGTCTCATAAATCAACCTATTTCGATGGAATACTCTAAGAGGGGACATAAGATGTAAAAATCTTATAATGAGAAAAGCATGTATTTAATTGGGAGGAATGGTAATGTAATAATTATGTATTTAATCTTGTACGATGGTCATTTACTTCTATAGGACTCATGTGTGTAAGTTATTCAGGATAGTTCTATGGCAGTCATGTATTCCTATTATGTGATCTAATTAGGGCTTAAGCAGATATTGTGCGTGTATTAGGAAGGGTGGACAAAGTTTATTCTCTTTTGGAGTTTCTCAACTCTGGGATAACATTCCTGCTTTAGTAAAATTGGTTTAATGATATTAAACATCAATTTAATTAGTATTTGATTATCCACAGTTCCGTGCTAAGTGCTAACTCTTATTAAATTGACATTCATCACGCATAAGGTACTGTGGACGGAGTGTGGATGGAAGCCTGTGCCTCTTGTTGATATAATTGAAGGGAACGCGGTTAAAAGATCTTATCAAAGAGCTTTACTCTGCCTGCATCCCGATAAGTTGCAGCAAAAGGGTGCTTCTTCTGACCAGAAATATATCGCAGAAAAAGTTTTTGATATTTTACAGGTAACATAGTTGTGGTAATTCATTACCATTACAATCATTCTATCTCTGTCAGGATCTATGACTAGATTCCTTAAAATTGATCACACGCATTCCTTGTTATAGAAGAAGAAATATTGAGAGTTAGGCGTTCACACAAGTTTATTTATATCACATAGGATTAGACATAAACATAAGTCAAACACTATAGTAGCTCTTGTTAAAAATTTATGTTTAATTCAATCTTACAAAAGTTTCTAACTAACTAACTAACCAAAATTTTTCTAACAATTTAGGGTGCAATTGTTTTGGATCATTCTAAGTTATTATGTACCGCATAGTCGCTATTGCATTCAATTCTAGAGACATGCAGAAGAAACCAGCTTAGCTACTGACAACTAAATTTATGTTTTATTTTCGGCTTTCTTCTTCCTTAACCTGCAACTCGACCCGACTTAGAGAGATTATTTTGCAGTGCAAAGACAAACGCAACTCGTGATCATTTTGCATAAAATTACTAAACTGTGTTTTTTATTCCATTTCTATCCGTGAAATCGTATTATGCCCTCGAAATGTGGTGCAGAAACTCAAGTTAGTCATGTTCATGTTGTCCTCTGTACATGCGATTTTATTTCATATCTTTTATATGTGCTCAAAACTTGTGGAAACAACTCACTAATTAAGAAAATGTTTTTTTAACAACTTCTACAAAACCCAAAAATATACTAAATTATTAATGATGGATGGCTGTGCGGAAGCCTTATTCATGCTTAAGAAAATTTAATTTCACATAGGGACTACGGTAATTCTTAGGAAGGTATTGAAATTCAGGAAATGATTAATAAACATATCATCATTTAGGTTTTTTTCTCAAACTTATTCAAAATAGGGACTTACTTTGTCCATATTTTACTATGCAGGAGGCATGGACTCATTTCAATATGCTCGGTGCACTCTAATTTTGTCAATGCCTTTATTGATACCTAGTGCGAAGCTTCCCTCCATAGACTTTCAATAAGGTGGAAAGATCTTGTTCTTATCGCAAGAGCAAGTGTTACTTTATATACTATACCTGTAACTAATTTCGTAGCAATTGTAATGTATTGGGTTTCAAATATGTAATTTTCCTGTCTGGTATGCATACACGATAGTTTATTTCTCTTGTATATCTACTGCACATAGAGAGGTCACTGACCCGAAGGTACAGTTAGCGTATCAGTTTCACTTTTCTGTTTCATCGGGAATTCTTTTCAACATAATATTAGTTTCCCACGATTTGTTGCAATTATACTTTAGACTACTTAATAAAATAAATTATTAATGACACATTATTGTTAGTTATCTATTATTAAGAGGTTACAATCACTCAATAAGTACATATATATATTCCATTCAACTAAAGACGTGAATCAATTGGATTTAGAATCATGTGCGCTGAATCTACTGATAAAATCCAGGCTAATCCAACGATTAACAAAATTGCATATGCAATTTTACGATTATATGAGACAACTTTAGCTTTCCTTTCTTAGAGAACTTACCCAATAAGGTGATTGTCATTACACTAATATATTTCATCCTTTTATCGTTTTAGATTACTCTTAAAGTGCGTAATAATATTTGGAAGATTTTAGAACTTACCCAATAAGAAGTATGTATAAACACATTTGCTCCAATAATATTAAATTAATTAAAGAATCAACCTGAACAGTCTCGTTACTATGCGCCCCTACAAAATTGTACCCTCTATTCAAGATTAAATTTGTCTGGCTGTTACAGAATTGAACTCTAGATGTCAGCATCAGTAGCTAAATGGAGTTCAGTACTTCCTTAAGAGTGTAACTGCCGTTAAGTAGCTTTGTTCCTCACCATCAACCTCACCCTAAAAAATTGCCACCCAACTCGTTCTACCTAATGCAACAAACAGTAGATAATAACAATAATCGGATATCATATTTTAGAACACCCTATATTGAAGTAGATCCTATTGATCCTAGAAGCTGACCAAAAGTTTATAGATACATTGAGCATCCGCTCAGAAATTCCTTAATGCTCTAGACTCTAGAGGCAGTTATCAGATAAATACATTTCAAATACGAATATTTGTTCTGCACATCATTTGCTATATTAATTTCCTTTTCTTTCCTGATAAATAATGGAACCATACAATGAATATACAAACCACGAATCCGAAGAATTAGCATTGGGAAAACAAACCTGCAGGAAAACGAAAAAGAAGATTCAGATCTAAGGTTACATGGCTTTTCTCAAATCAGTTCAGGTCATTTATCACAATAGAAAACGTGAACGCACAGCAACACTAATGGATCTTGAACTGTGTGCCTCAATAGAACACCGTCAATTAAACATTATGAGTCTCATTATTTACAATAAAATTACATAAGTACCATTCAGATGTTTAGGTGAATGTATACTAATTTAAATACCCCTCACGCAAGCCGACAATTCTTAAGCAAATACTAAGTTGAAACTAAAACTCGAATGGAACTACGTTTCATTTGAGACGGGGGCCAGAAATTATCATTCGTCTTTCTGATGCAAAACACTAGGCAGGCTATTATTACCATTGAGAGCAGCATGATATGTTCGTTTTTCAGCAAGCCCAATATCAGAAAGTGTCAAATTACCCTGCAAGTAGAACACACAATATAGAATAAATAAGCTAGCACCAACAGCAGTTATATAATAAGATATATGCCAATGCAATTTGCTATAAATGGTATAACATGGAGGCAAATACCTCATGCAATATAGATATACAATAAAATTAAAGAAAATTAAGAAATTAAGCTTTTGATAATCACAAAAACAACACTTGAAAGTGAAAGTATGTAAGATTTTTAAGAGTATCCATTATGCCTAACTCGATGAAAATGAAAATTACACGGACAATATAAAAAATTTAAATATTGTACTCAATTAACATTGAACCATTTCTATAATTAATGTTTTATCAGCATTGCGTGTAAGTGCGTGTTCACACACACAATTAATATTCTTCTATATTAGAAAAGTAGCAGAAGTTTAGAGTTATCAAGGTAAGCCAAAATACAGTTTCAACTGAATATAAAATTTTATACAATTATGAATGTGATAAAACATCCAATATAATGATAGACTCTAAGAAAGTCATCCAACAGATTATATAATGTAAGATGGCTTTGATTCACACTTGTGTCCACCACGGAATAACTTCCAAGTGTAACAGTATTTTGAGAGTAAGTTGTGCATTCTTTGTATTGAATACAAACCACAAACACCAAGTTAAACTACCAATCTAAGTCGAGTACTAGTGTATGGCTTGGGACAATTTAGAACAAGTCGCACTAACAAGTAGAGCAAACTAGCAACAAGACTCCTAAAACACCCAGTCCTAATACTCTAACGTTTCCTACAAAAAACAAATTAGTTTAAAACACGCAGATCTTAATAAAATAATAAACACAAAATCCAATAAATTTTTTAATTGGATAAAACATGACAATTAATTTACAATATACTTTTCAAAGAAAATACCAATAATTGAAGCACGTAGCACTTTTTCCTCAAAATTATGAAAGCAGAAAGAATCTACAAATTTTCAAAAGATGGATTGGCCCAAAAAACAAGTTCTTTAAAGAATCTTTTGGTGTGACTGTAAAGTCTCTGTCAATTTACACACCAGTAAAGACCGAGTCCTGTCATAGAACAGAGAAACACCTGTATCCTTCTTAACAATTTATTTAACACTACAGTAGAGAAACGGTGATTTTTTTTTCTTTGAGAAAACAATACCTCAGAAGCCATCAATCTTCTAACATTATTGGCATAAAGTTTGGGGTCATCCATCTCCTGTTGTGAAGGATGGTAAACAGGTAATCGGATCACCTCTATAAAATTTACAAATTGACATAGGAGAAATATCACATGCCTCACCTGCCAACACAAATGTACACTTACATAAAGAATAAAAACAAATGTTGCTAAGGAACAAGACAATTTCAACAATACAAATTACCAAAAGATTTCAAAGAATTAAATTTGATTAGAGCTACTTACTGAAAATGAGCAGATAACATTAAAATGAGAATACTAAAGCAGAAACAAATTATTTCTCCAAGATGGTTAGCACAGCATCCTTTTAGGACAAAGGCTGGTCTCTGTTCCAAAACGTACTACAACAATTTACACTTCGCACAGGTAGAACGTATGTTTTTGAGCTACTCATGAAAAAGAAAAAATAAAAAGATATTGCACTATCAACTACCAAGTATCAAGCCAAATGAGTACAGAGAGTTCCACTAGCATTCTCACAAATTTTGACATGGCATCAAACTTCAATTCAGAAAAACATTCAAGAAAAATATTCAAACCTTAGGCACACCTCTAGATTCAAAATATAACAGTTAAAGGAATAGAACAGTTTATGGGGTATAAGATTGGCTTTTATAATCAGAATTCAGCCAAAAACATGACACTTTATTACTATTGAAGTACTCACCCCAGATATGGAATCCCAGGCAGGGCTAAATCTCTGGTAATGATATCTTAAAATCACAGGAAGTACTGGTGCCTTTGCCAAAAAACCACCAGTTTTGAATGGAAGGAGGAACTCTCCATTTGTGGTTGTACCTTCTGTAGAATACCAAATATGCATGAACAACTTAAATTACTCCATTTACAATTAAACAATAAATAAAAATGAGTGAAAGAAACTGATAAACTATGAAACTTTATGTGACCAATTCTTGTGTAACCATATGCAACAATTAATAGCAGCAGAATAAATTAATAAACATAAAGAACGTAAAGCTACAGAGTTTTGAGATATAGAAATGAGAGGTGTTATGAACACAACTAAGGAATCGCTAGGGTGAAAATGGATTTTATAGAGAAAACAGGGTGAATTAAAAACACAAACTTTTGTCTGTGGATGAGAACACGGATTCAGTATTAATAATTAGGATAAAAGGTCAAGAACTACAGCAACTTTAATCATCAAATTAATTTTATTATAAAAACAAATTGCAAATAGGAGAAGAAAAATCGACATAAATCATTTTATATGTTAGTACATAAAAATCAAGACCTTTCTCTTCACATAATAGAGAACACAGGTGGTAAGGGTAATAATTTATTAAAAGTTCAAAAAACTGCCAACTAATTGTCTTCATCTTCAACAGGATACCAAACACTACCTAATTATTCAGAAAATAAGTATGATCTCTCTCTCCAAAGAAAAAAAGAGGAAAGAGGATGATAACCTGGAAATAACATCATTAATGGAGCGGACTCATTCTGATGAGCTTCTCGAATTCTATCAGTGACAATAGCTGCAGAATGAAAATTCACATGTCGGCTTCATTACGGATTTTATCGATGATTATGTCCCAAAGAAAAAATTGCATAAGATTAAATTTACCCACCACTCATAGCACTCAATATAAACAGTGCATTAAAATCCTAGCTTGACTAACTAATGTGCATAACAGTACAACTGCCCTCTAGACAGTGATAAATAGAATGAGTATATTTAGATGCCAAAGGGAAATTCAAATACAACAAATGAAATTAATTTAGACAAAGGGAAATGAAGATTAATTATTGTTAGTTCAGAATTATGTCCAGAATTTGAAATTCTAATCAAACGAGTGATGCCACCAACAGACAGAAGGAGAACTATAAACAATGATTGGGCACTCTTTTAACAAATGGTATATAAAGTTTTATATCGGATCTAGTAATTTATGCATTACAATTAAACGATTGGGAGGTATGCCTATTGGGTACAAAAAAATAAAAATCCAAGATACAAAATAACTAATGCAATGCCATTGGAAACATAGAAAGAAAAACCACAAAGCACGGAACGAAGAATACAACCAGCGCTTTTACATTCTTTCACTTTCTTCGAATTGTACACAATGTTATAAAGTGCATGCTCATACAACGATAAATATATGCACCTGAAACACCCTTGAAGTCTGATGACTTTGACTCCCGCTGAACATAGACACAACCAAGGCACTTACTGTGACAACAAATATACCAAAATATATAAGCACCTGATCTTTTAGCAGTCCCTTGCAATGGAAAGATAATGCATACTGAATTATATTAAACCTAGCTTTCTCATTTTCAGAACCATGTGTTGATCAATTTTAAATGGAGATTTAAGGTTAAAAAAAGAGCAGAGCATGTAAGGATCTAAAGAACTCAAATGAATCAAAGGGATATAAGGTTGCAGTAATCCAATTTAAGCCAACAGACCTGATGAGACCAACGAGAGGAAGTCTAGCCACTGATCTCTTCATCGATGAAATACAATAATTGAAACAAAAAAATGTCAGTAACACAAACGTAAAAGATACATTCATATTCAACTAATCGTGGAGCAGAAAGTTCGTCATAACACAAACCTTAGCAACAAAACTAGGGAACGAGGATGACATGTGATACAAAATGTCCAGGTATGACACATGGTTAGATATTATTACACCAGGTCTGTCCGACTCTTCAGGCTGTTGCTTGTCTTCCTTCGGGAATTGAAGTAAACAAAAAGAAAAGAGAAAGAAGTAAAATCAAACACCAATACACAACATTTTTTATTGCGAATTATAAATTATAATGAAACATGGCTAAAGACTTATCATCTAATAACTGGTAAAATACATTTCATCATCCCACTCAAGAATGAAAGGCAAAGGGAGACACCACTTCTCAGTAAAGCTTAATAGCAAACCACTTACAGAAAATACTAAAAATGGAAAGAAAGTAACAAAATCCTTTTTTCAGTTTCAACGGGACAGAATTCACATAACTTCAACTGAAATGAGAAATACAACTCGTGAGTAGACACTTTCTATCCGTACAAGTTGTTATCCTAAAATGAACAGCATACAACACTTATTTTTTACCCAGAAAACAAAAAGGAAGAAAATATCAGGCAAAATCTCTCTGGAGAGGAGCCCCGTATCTAAGTTTTGTCCTATATTATCTTCCGTATAATCCTAAAAACAATACTGAATGCTCTTACTTTTATACTAGTTAACACTAAGTAAGCTAAACTTATCGTCGTGGATTTCATCGAGTCTCAAATAAAAGTCAAGAACTAGAAACTGAGAAAGCGAATAAGACAAAGCAATTAAAAAATAACCTGAGAAGCAGAGTTAGATTCGGGGATCCAATAAAAGCCAAAGATGAAGAGCATGACTCTAGAGAGAGCGCGTCCACAGGAAACAATAACCGCCCTCCTCCAGCCACTCATGTGAGCGTAATCTTCTTGTTCATCTTCGCGATTGGGCGCATAGAATAGAGTACAAACCCTACAAATTAAGTAATAGAAGAGCAATACGGTGAACGCGAGAAGAACTCTGATAGGGAGAAGAGTGACCAACGCGAAACCGAGCAAGAGCTTCTCCTTCGGCGGCAACTCGCCGCGTCCCATGGTGCCGTAGATGTCGCGGCGAACGTATGCAGCGAACTTCTTTTCCATCTCGGCGATGCTGTCAGCGGAGGCTAGAGACTCGGACTTGAGGAGAGGACGGTCATCCCTGGCGGAACTGCCGTTGGGAGGCTTGGAATTGAGGTCTTTGAGCTCCGACTCCATAGTGGATCGAACGATGAAGTCACTTTGATTGATGAATTAGTCACTGGTTTTCCCTTCCATGGCAGATTTAGGGTTTTAGGAAGAGAGAGAAGGGAAATGCAGCGACGCAACGGGAGAAAAGGATAGACGACGATGCTTCTCTTTCCTTCTTTTTAATTCATTCGCTTATGCGATCTCACCAAAATTTGCCCACGCAAACCACATCCTCTCCTGCCTGCTTTTTCTTTCCTCAAAAATGCGCTTTTTCCCCTTTTTTTCAAACATTCAAAAACAATAACATACTATGAAATTTAATAAACTCGTTAAAATATCTTTTTCACAACAAAATAAATAAATAAAAAGTTGTTTCTCCTATATATTTGCTGAACTGATTCCGTTGACACCGAAGAAATTAAATGAATTGGGTAGGCCCACCCATTTTCTTGAGGTTACAGTTTTTTTAGTGTTTCATCCAACACTTTCAATATTTCAGTATTTACTTACAAAAATTTTATTTTTAATCTTCTAATATTTTATCCTTGCATTTCTAACTTTTTTTAAAAATTTCATTTTTTTAGATGAAATATTAGAAAGTCAAAAATATAATTTTTGGAGGTACAGGATAATATCTTGGAGGTATAGGATAAAACATTTCAGTTTTTAGGTTTGGATTCATCTTGAGAAGTAGCACAGGCCCAATAATCTGATTTTTGAAAAAGGAAAAAATTATAAATATTAAAAAAAATCAAAGTGATACAAAATATGGAAACATAACTAAACTAACGTGGGAATATTTAATGTTCCAAGTTATTCAACCGCCTCAATATAAGTTAGGAGATTTGATTTTGCACACGGTGTGACATCTACGAAGTTTCGATAAAAGAAAATTAAATTAGCTAGAATAAACTAATAGTAATTTATCATAAAATATAATAATTTTGTTAATATTATTTTGCTCCCAAATCAAATCAAACTCGAACAACCAACCAGATTTTGTGCAAAAGGGAAGGGAGAAGAAGAAAAAGGAAAGTGAAATCATAACGGGCCGTTTTTTGAGCCCATGAAATGAATGGGCAGGGCTTGTATAGAAGATAAGTGAGGGCCCGGCCCATGTTGGGAGAAGTTACAGATAGAGAGTGAAGTGAATGGTGGCATTAGGTGGCCTTTTGGTGAGTGTGAGAGTCATTGGATTCTTTTTCTTAACGGTAAACAAAGCAACCCATCCTCCATACAATACAACAAACAAAAGCAAGGCCAATTCTCACAACAAACCCACACATCCAATTCCTTTAACGTTACTGAACAATAGTGAGTGTGACCTTTCGCCTAAGCTAAACTTCAATCTTACTCTCTTCCCCTTTTTTCAGGATTCAAATATTCATCTCATCCTCCAAATTCAAAACTCCAAATCAAATCCAACAAACAAACAAACACTTACAATGCCCGAACCGCGACTCGCTCTGAAACCCGCCGGAAACGTGCCCAAACACGAGAACCAGAACCACGTAAAGACTCCACAGCGCTTGAGAAACCTGGCACCGCAAATTCCAAATGTCGTTGCGCAAAGCACCGTGTCTTTGGACAGCACGTGTTCCTCGGATTCGTGTTCAAGCAACTCACTAACCAAAAGGGTGAATCCCGCAACTGCAAGCAGAAGAAGCGTGAACCGTAACGGGCTTAAGCCGGTTAGGGTTGTGCCCGACGCCGTGGACGTAGCCACTACTGTGTCTCCGCCTCCCAAGAGATGTGAATGGATCACTCAACATTCTGGTAAGCCTACCTCGCCCACACACATAACAGAGAAGAGAATTTTCATTTTCTTCTTCAGTGTTAAAGTCACCTTTTCTTTTTTAATGAATGGTGAGAATCTGAAACTGCATGTAACCAAATTTCAACGCTTAAAACATGTATGGATTTTGATTTATATCCTTATAATTTTTATTCAATGTATAAGTTTTAATTTTTTTTTTCTAAACTTTTTTTTATTATTTTCATCTTACCAAATTTTTAAATCGATATTTTTCTCCATTAGATTATTTTTATATGGATAGATAGTATTGATTTTAAAAAATTTAAGATTTTCATAAATGTCTTAGGCTAAACTTATGTTACAATATAATAATATTCTAATTCAACACATAAATCAATTAATCAGGATAATATAATGTTATAATTCTAGAAATAATTATTTTTATAGAGAATAAAGTAAAAAAAAAAAAAAACTCGCACATATTTAAGCCAATTTTTAATCAGATTATCGCGCTCTTCTTTGCCTGTTTTTCTAAGTATTTGGTACATATTATAGAAGTATTAGGGTCACCGATTTTTCACCATAATGTTTAAATAGTCATGGAAGTTTTCTGAAAATTTTATCCTACAACTTATATCTCGAATAGTCAACTTATTGTAAAAGTAGTCTTTGATTTAAATTTTTGACCAAAATACCCTTCCTTCAAAGAGTTAGAGCTGAAAAAAAGGAATTTTTGGAAACAATTTGGTGTAATAGCCTGAACTCTTTAGGAATTTGGTCAAGCAGGGGACGAATTCGATGATTTTCCTTACTTTACTTAATTTTTAATTAATTTACTTTTTTTTTTTAAATTGAATTTGTTCATTCAATACATAAAAATTAAAAAGTTACTTTACTACTTTTGAAAAAAATTACATAATCCCTCCCGTCAAAGATACTTTTAATATTAGAATAACAATATTTAGAAGAATTTTCGAGAAATGAATTTAGTGATACTTAGTGAAGACTAATATCATGATATAAACATAAGGCTTTTTATGATAATTAATTTATTATTACGTAATTTTAATTATGCACTATTATTAAAAAAATATAATAGTTTTTGTCAATATTGGCCCTTGAGTAACCAAAAGTTTATTGTGATTATAAAAGTCTGTCGAGTAGTGCCATAGTCATTACGCTTGAGATGGTATTTATGGTCGAAAACTGGTTTTGTTCGGTAGTAGTTATTACATGTCATTTATTTACACGAGAGTATAATAATAATTAAATAATTAAAACTATAAAAAATAATAATTAAATCTATTTTTAATATTTATTACTTCCATTTTTTCTAAATTTATTCTCAAATTGTATTCATTGAAAATTATCTTTAAACGTAAAAGACAAATAATATTTGTAAAATAGTAACACAAACACCAATTACATACTATAGGAAGAGAGATTGACATTATTTTCTAAAAAAAAACCTTAAAACAGGTTATCTTTATATAATATAATGTTCTATTTTTTTCATTTATATATAATGTGAAATTTAGCCTCGTACTTATGTTACCAACAATAACATCTTTATTTCCTCGGCAGTGATGAAATGGGTGTCTGGATTAAACTAATTTCTAAGAACTGAAGATTTTAATCTTTCTCTCCTAGCATCATCACAAATTATAGAGCATGATCTGCTGTGACAACTACTGTTTTAAATATGGACATTAAGTCACATTACGGTACTCCTTCTTAAAGTGTTTGTCTAGAGCTATATTGCTCATACCACACCTTTATGAATCTCGTTAATGAGGGCGGTGGAAATGGGCTTTTATTTTTTTGTTCAACTAACTTTCCATGCATGTGCTTCTGCATAGCTAAAAACTCAGTTAGAATTCCCCCAATGGAGTTACGTAGAAATGCATCTGAAAGTACATAATTTGATCTTGCTTTCTAGTTTCTTATTCTAGTTGCCTGTCTGTGTTTCTAAACTTTTTGTATGTGATAGTTCTAAATTTCAAATTTTTATTAGTGGGTGATTGTTGAGTGATTCTGGATTACCCACTTTAGACTACTTTTTATGAGATACAGTGTATAATTAAGTATTTTTTTTTTTAATAAATTAAAAAGCATGAATATATAAAAATTAGTGTTCGGATCAGTTATCAAATACTCCATATTGCTAAATTTAACTGGAGTATGCGAGCTATTACCTTATTCCATTGATAATTACCTTCTCAAGCAATGCTATTTCATTCCGAACAGATCCCCTTTACACTGCTTTCCATGACGAAGAATGGGGTGTTCCAGTTAACAATGATAGAAAGCTCTTTGAACTTCTGGTATTTTCACAAGCATTGGCAGAACATCGTTGGCCAATAATTCTTAACCAGAGAGACATATTCAGGCATGTCTAAATCAACCAATTTTTTAATAACCTGACACTTTATTTGAATACGTATGATCTGACTCCCAGTGTTTTAACATATGCCGCAGGAAGCTTTTTGAAAATTTTGACCCCTCATCAGTTGCACAGTTTACTGAAAAGAAATTGCTAACACTGAAAATAAACGACAGCTCATTGTTATCAGAGCCAAAGCTCCGTGCCATTGTGGAAAATGCTAAACAATTACTTAAGGTAACTTTTAATGCTGCTTTTCAAGCAAAATACATTGGAACTTTCTATATGAGTGGAGATTTGAATTGTAAAGTGAGGAAAGTCGGAACTAATGCATCTCAAAACGACATGGTTGATGATTTATTCATTATAGGTTCAGCAGGAGTTTGGCTCGTTCAGCAATTACTGCTGGAGATTTGTTAACCACAAACCGGTAAGAAATGAATTCCGATATGGACGTCAAGTACCAGTGAAGACTCCAAAAGCAGAAGTCATAAGCAAGGACATGATGCGTAGAGGTTTCCAATGTGTGGGACCGACTGTGATTTATTCGTTCATGCAAGTAGCAGGACTTGTTAATGACCACCTCTTGACATGCTTCAGGAACCAAGAATGCAATGTCACAACCAAAAAGGAATTTAAAACCGAGGTTAAGAAGAATAAGGTACAAAATGAAACTTCGGAGCTGACATAAACAAAATGACTGAAGACATGGTCCATTTTTTTCTTATAATTGTATTGTACGCTAATCTGTCTGTATCACCTAACCTAACCAGAAAATAATAGGCCCCATCTTGTTATTGGTGTTCCCATGTGAAGGTGCATGCTTCTTTGACTACACTTAGTTGATAAGTTGTTCTGTTCCGGTGTTCTGTGTAATCAATTTCCAACTTAGTATTGTCACCTTGTAGAATTCATAATGCAATGCTCCCATGTCCACTATATTTCATATTCATCGACATTTTTTTAATACTATCATCATTTATAACCTAATCGATAATAAGGGAGGACTGTTACAAACTCTCGTCTCAGGGGAGCTTTTGCATTGGTCCTTCGTCTGCGTCCTTGCCTTGCCTATCTTGGGGTTCCTCGGGCAATTTTCTGACTTATCCTCATTCACTTCACAAACCGATATTATG